TTGTCTCTCATAGTTGAGGTATACCTATGATGAAAATTACAGGCCTCTCTCATCTTTTTAAGTGGGAGAACTTGCACAATTGGTGGCTGACTAAATACTTTTTTGCCCCACTGTAAATATCCCTGCTTTTTCAGATAATGGATTTCTTTTATTTACCATCTTTTTCCACAGTGGCTAGTCAGATTATTTTTGAGAAACCTAAATTATTAACAGGTTACAAGGGAAAGATTTTCTTGAATCTGTATTCATCAGCAGCTTATATTCAATAGTAGACTGCCTTTGAACACAGGTTTCATTAATTATTGTAACTAATAGTCACCTATTATAGACCTCCTTTAAACCCTTAGCTTTAAATTTATACTCAAAAGCTAAGGGTTTAAAGGAATAAAAACATTTAGAAAAATTGCTGTAAGCAGATCCTATGCCAAGAGAAAGAGAGAAGGACAGCATACTATATATAAACAAATAGGTAGATGTATTAAGACTAATGAATCTTTCCCTGGTTTTAAGGAAACCAATTTAGACCTTTCTTGTAGCAAACAACTGATAATACAATCCCATAGCCTTAGCTCATATAGTTCTCTTTGATTAAAGTTATATTTTTACCTCACATTTATTATATTGCAGACAATATTCACATCATATATTTTGGATTTATGCGATTGCTTGTTGTATGTTGTACCCAATCAACAGATGCCTTAGGTTATAAATCTTGGAACAAAACAGATAATGCTGAAGAACAGAGCTGAGGGTGCTCTGCAGCTTGCCCTGTATCTCCTAAATTTCCTTGTCCTTGTTATAGCAGATGTTGTTCTATTACTGTTATTTAAGAAAAATTCAGTTATCACTTGAGTCAAATTATGTACATGGAATGAGGGGTGGGGAAGAGTTTTATTTTTCATGTCAACCACAAAATGTCTGAGATCAGGTCTGCTAATAAGTTAAATATTCAGCAAATTCTTATCACAAATAGATACATGCCTAAATATTAATTTTAAATAACAGGCACAGGAAGAAGTAAATCATCTACGAAAAGAAACTATGAAAATCCCCAAAGCTTCTAAAACTGCAATGACTGTTCAGGCTGTATTAAGACGTGTGGAAACAGAAAGGGATGCAGCCATTTCTGATTTTCGAAGGATGGCCACAGAACGTGATAGCTTGAGAGAGAGGTTAAAGGTTTGACTTTTTATCCAAACTCATTTATTTATTTATTTATTTTTATTTCTATAACTGCCCATCTCAACCAAGTGACTAGATGGTTTAAGCAGTGTATGCCATGTTATACCATATGCCCAAAGATTTAGTGTATTAAATTAAATTTTAAGACACTGAAAAATAATTTAATGATTTTTGTTTGATATAGATTGCTCAGGACACTGCATTGAATGAGAAAGCTCACCTGGAGCAGAGAATTGAGGAGCTGGAATTAAATATTCAAAGCGTAAGAAAAATGTTCTTGAAATATATTGATAAATGTTAAAATTTACCAGTAGCTAAAATGTATGGATATAAAAACTTGGCAAGATATATTGAAATACCTTTTTGTACAACTTCATTATGACAAGTAAGCCAATAGCTGAAAGCCAATTTGGTCTAATGGTTCAGGCACTGGACTAGGAGTGGGGAGACCCAACCTCTAGTCCTGCCTTAGGCATGGAAGCCAACTAGGTAACTTTGGGCCACTCACTCTCAGCCCTAAGACATGACAAACCACCTCCAAAAACATTGCCAAGAAAACTGTACAGACTTGTCCAGGCAATTGCCAGGGGTCAAGACTGACTCCAAAACAAGCTAAGAGCCAGAAGTTCTCAGGCTAGAGGTGACAGTTATATAAACATTCAACAACTGCTCAGCTTCAGCCTGATACAGGTAGTTCTCCTTTAGTGACCGCAACTGGGACTGGCAACTCCATCACTAAGTGCTCCGGTTGCTAAGCAAAGCGTGACTGCAACAGGCTTACAACAACTCTTTCAGTTGTTAAGCAAATCACTATGGTCATTAAGTGAAACACCACATGACCGTGACTTACAATTTTACTTCTGCCTTCTCTATTAACTGCTTGTCACAAGCCAGTTGCAAAACATGCAAACAGCAATCATGACCACAGGATGCTGCAGTAGTAGTAAATGCAAGGATTGGCCACATAGCTATTTTTGTTACACTATCATAACTTCAAACGGTTGTTAAATGAAGCAGTCAGTAAGCAAGGACTACCTGTATGAAGAGTCTGTTAATTTGTGGGAAGGAAAAGCTTCAGATGGTACTGGTGGTATAAGAACACTTACATCTTTATGGCTGCATTGTGAAATTTCATATGGCTTGAGCCTTGCCTGCAGTAAAAATTCTTATCTAGCTGAAATGCATCTGGAAACTAATTTTGCTATGGAAACTAATTTAGCCACAGAAGATCAGGACATTAGTAATTTGCTGCCAACTTCTTGTGAGTGAACCTGACAACTTGATTGCCCATTCCTACTCCATTGTTACAAGAGAAGAGCCATTACCTAGAGATCTAAACTTAACACAATTGATTCTGACCCTATTCTGTTGACTATTGACTAAGCAGCCAATGCCTTACTCCAGTATCAGAACCAAACAGCTACCAGAATGGACCAATTAGCCCAGCAGATTTAATCATCACAGGTAGGTCCTTCTCGGTGATACACTAGGCTGCCTCTTCCTCAGCTGCTGGTACAGCTGCAATGGCAGCCATTGTGGCTATCCAAGAGGTGCACCTGCTCCTCTGCCAAATAAAATGGGAAAACCAAGCACATTTACTACCTCGTCACTCAATGTGAATTATGCATCTCCCTGGAAACTGATGACTTCTTACCTTATACAGCTGTGCAGGATTTATAATTAACCTAATGGTGGAAGGAACTATAAAATAGGCAAACCCTTTTCTGAGTTAAGTCAGCCTGGATTTGGACAACTACCTGTTGCATATTGGAAAGCAGGTTAGGAGTTCAATATGAGAATATGCTGCTGAGTTTCAGCTGCTTGCTTAGGATGTAAAGTGGAATGAAAGAGGATTAATTGGATAGTTCAGAGAGAAACTGTCAGAAGAAACTTGAGATGAGCTAATTTGTCAAAACATCCCAGACACCATAACTGCATTAATCCAGGTCTGCTTCAGTGCTGACAGAAGACTTGAAAAATTGTGAGAGACTATGCACAGGAAGGAAAGATGACACTACTCACTTCCATGCCTCCCTGCCTCTGTCCAGCCACATATCTCTGACTTCAAGAGTCAAATTCATGGAGCTAGGCTCCAGCATATCTCTCTTGTCTGCCTGAGGAAAGTTGTTCAGCTACACACAAAGCCAGTGTCCATCTTACGAAGAACCTTGATGCTTTGCATGGAAACACCCTGTTTACCCCCACTCCCAAAAAACATCAGGAATATGTAACAGTTGCAAGAGAGGGGAGATTTTATTAGCTTCTGATCAGGCATGTTGGGAAATGACTTTCTTCTAGCTCCTGAGGAGGCAGCCAAAAATCAAAGTCTAGATATACCTTACTACACATCAATATTTTGTCATTTCTGTTATCCTGCAGACACACGCTAACCTGCAAACCTTAGTAGAATGTGGTGCCACAGGTAAATTTATTGGATTTGCATGCAAATATGCTGCCCTTACTCTGTCCATCCATCCTCCTGTTTGTATTGATGGCCAGGATTTACATTCCAGGCCCATCACAGAAAATATAGAACCTCTGCCTTCTCTGTTGTGGCATCTGCCCGGTGGAATAGCCTCCCCTCTGAGGTTCAGATGGCCTCAACCCTTCTGGCCTTTCAGAAGGACTTAAAAACCTGGCTCTTCCTTCTGGCTTTAGGGTCAATGTGTGTTTTCTTCTGAGTTGTTTAAAGAGTTTATTTTTGCCTGGCGTCTCTTACTATTTTCTAAATGTTTCTAAATGTATATTTTGCTTTATGTTTTGTTTGCCACCCAGAGTTATTTCATTAAGATGGATGGCCATATGAATTTGCAAAAGAAATAAGTAACCCACCACTGAGTTCTGGCAACTCTGTTTAGCCTCCGCATTACATGTTCTCATAATTCTGGGACTAGATTGGCTATCTGCTCACAATCCAAATATTAAATGGGATCCTGATAATATCACCTTTGATGCTAGACTCATACCACAAATTCTGAAACCCCCACCACTTGCCACTTCACAGCAAGTATACCCTACTAACTTGACTTTTTTGTCAAGAAGATGGCTTCCTATGGGTAATCTGCTCTTGAACTCTCTGACCATTAGGTGCCATTAACCTCTTCCCCTCACTTCCAAAATCAGAATGATTGCCTAAGGGACAAATTATTACTAAATTGGATCTCAGAGGGAATTACAATCTGATTTGTATGAAAGAGAGGCATAAACATTTAACTGCCTTTGTTGCTGTGTGGTTGGATTTGTGGATAACGTAGTTCAGATTGGAAAAGAGTCCCTAGGTCTTGGCAGTATATTGATTGTACATTTATTCCCAATTCTGCAGCTCACACCATTGAGCATCCTTTCAGAAAGGGGATTCCTTTTAAGTGGAATTCTGAAGCCCAACAAGCCTTTCTTCACCTCCAAAAGGCATTCACTTCTTGTTCTATTCTCTGTCATCCTGACCATCTCTTTGTTGTGCAGCTCTGATTTCATCTTGGAACTGCACTTCTCGAAAACTGTTCCAGAGATTTGGGGTAGCTTTCTCCCCTGCATGTCCTTTCTCAGCAACTACTACTAGTGGAGATAAACTGGTGTTTTTAACAAGGAGCTATTGTTCATCAAGGAAGCCTTTCAGAATTGGGACCTTTCACTCAGCTTCCATCTTGTGCCCTGAAAAATTTGCCCCCACTCCAGTGAAACTTTTGAAGCTGGAAGGAAAGTGAACACAGATTGAATCTGTGTTCAGCAAGAACAGTGTTCTTATTTGCAGTCTTAGATAGATGACTGTAGTGGGCCTATTGCCATCTTTCTCCCTCTTTTCCAGGGAGTGGGCAGAATTGTGCTGGAATGACTGAATTGAGGAAGGAAATGTTGCAATTCTGTCATGGGAGCCAGCCAAAAAGTACTCATCCCCTTTTCTCTGGCTTTTGGGGGCCTTGCTGGAGCAGATGTCAAAAGTTACATTTCTTTATGCCATATCTGTTGCCATGCAATGCCTCAGACTGTTACAATCTCTCCCCTCCGCATAAGGGCCTTGGGATAGTTTGTTTGGACTTTATAAGTGACCTGCCATATATGAAATACCTGAATATCATTGGCCCACTTCATTCCTTGTCATGGCCTCCCTTCTGAGACTACCTGTCTGTAATTTCAAAGGTTTTACAGAACAATAGCTTGGATAATCATTTGATTTCTGACAGAAACCCACAATAGAAGATAATATACATAGCTCAGGGTTGAACTGTGGAGTCCTTGGGGTTCTCTGAGCTTGGTTTTCTTGCAGACGTTTCATTACCCAACTAGGTAACATCTTCTGAAGATGTCTGCAAGAAAACAACCAAGCTCAGAGAACCCCAAAGACTCCACAGAAACCCACAATTCACAGCAGGTCTTTGGAGAGCACTTTTTCAACTCTTAGATGTGAAGCTCTACGTCTCTCGATGCCCATCATCTACAATTGAATGGAGAAACTGAAAGAACAAATGCCACCTTAGAACAATACTTTCACTATTGTGGAAATTGCCAGCAGAATAATTGGCCAGATATTCTGTCCATGGTAGAGTTAGCTTATAAGTAATTCAATGCAAGAGGCTTTTTCTAAGACAAATATTGGTCCCTTATGTTTGTCCTTAAAGCATACTCCAATTTGTGATGGGAAGATTGCTTTTAGAGGAAATTTACTTTGGTCACACTAGAAAAAAAGAGACCTTTTCTTCTATAAGAAATTCTGAAAATCCAAAAATTGAAGTAACCAGATGAAAGTGAAATAATTGTCTGTAATTCTTAATGATTCTTTATCAGCTTGACAATGAACGATTAGAACAAATATCAAAGACAGCATTGATGAAGGAAACTATTGAGTCTGTAGAAATGGAGATGAAAATATTGGCAAGAAGGGCAGTAGACTCTGAAAGTGAACTTAATAGACAGAAAGCAACTAATGCTTCACTAAGGTAAAGAAAATAGATTGAAACAATCGTGTACATGTGTAAATATGTTATTCATTTAATTTAGATCTAGATGCAAATTGTTCTTCATGTAAAAAATTGTCAGATCTAAAAATGTGATAATGTATATTCTATTTTGCATTTTATTGACTGTGGGAGCTCATTTCATACTGTAGTTCTAAATATATAGGTGCCTGACTTGAATATTAAGGATGACTCCCTTTTTAATTAATTTATTTTTAGACTCTTTGTGGCAAAATAACTATCAATTTATAACATCATCCAGTCAGCACTGTGGTGATAAAAAGCCTGTCTCTATTAGTGATATTTCACAACAGTGATGGCTGGATGATACTATAAACCACTAAAGTATCTTATGTCTGAAACTGCTTATTCTATTGTAAGCAATGATATGGTCCTTCTCATTTATCACTAAGTTGTTTTTATGGGTACTGAAAATTTGTGTGCAAAGTTTAATTTAAATGTCCTTATTGTTAATCTTCAGCATACTGAATGAAAAGATAGAACATAACTTTGCAGAGGTACAGCGACAACTTTCAAAGAAAAAATATGAGTTACAACTTACTCAAGAGAAAATTATGTGTTTGGATGAAAAAATTGGTACGTTTGAATAACACCTTTAAATAAAAAATTGTTTTTAGCTTTAGACATGTCACTTTTATTATATATGAATTGCAAATTCTTTTACTAAGAATTTTGCTTGAAAACCCCTGAAAAAACTCTTTTGTTGATTCATTGGATGGATGGATAGATGCCTTGATTTTACACCAAAAAATGGCACAGAAGTGCCTCACAATAAAAATAATAAGGCACAAAACAAATTAAACACAGTACATATAATAATTACCATCATAAAGCATTATGCATATTATTAAAACTTGATTAAAGAATTATGAAGTTGCTGCTGTAATGTGTTAGCTGATCACCTTGATCACTCTCATTCACTTGAAGTAGGAAGCTGTCTTGTACAGTCCAAAGAACTGATGGGGGCAACACCTTGGGTTGTCATCTGAGAAAATGTTGATCCTGAGGAATTTGACAGTCCTTGGTGAGATGAGCTCTGTCACTGGTAGGCTTGATCCTTGCTCCATCTGGCTAGTACAGACTGCCAGGGAGGAGATAGGGAGTTGGGTCCAGGCCATGGTGAAAGACTGATAGGAAATGGAGGTGCCAGATCCCTGAAGAGAACCCAGGTGTGCTCCCTCCTCAATGAGCTGGCCTTGGACTCAGTGGTACTGGACAATTATCAGCAACTCCCCACTTCCCCTTGGAGATGTATGATGGCACTGGTGGTGGTTGTTGTTATTGAATGTTGGATTATGTCTATATATTTTGTTGAGATTTATTATTTTGTTGTAGATGCTATATGCTAGCTTTTGTTAGCTGCTTAGATTCTATTATTTAAAACACCAGAAAAATAGATATAATTAATTATCTACATACAATTAAAAAAACCTGAACTAATAACATGTGCTGATGCCCTTTCCTCTTGTCACCTCATGTCATATTACTTTTCTAGAAAAATCAAATTAGTGAAATAAGAACCAATTGAATACAATGTTATTGAAATAATATTAAATATTTGTTTTTCAAACTGAACTTAATTTCTTTTATGCGGTTCTTAGTGGTAGGAGGAGGCATTTTGCAACTAAAGTTACTTTTACAATTAATATGATTGTTGTGCTGTGATTTCTATTATTTATCTGTTCCCACATTTCAGCCAAAATTGGTTGCCAAAGCAACTTATTTATAGTATATTATGTCTTTACAAAAGTGTGTTTTTGCACTTGACAGTTGGACATTCATTCCAGAACTTTCATCTAGGAAAGTGAATAAGAGGCAGGTGGAAATGCAGATGTACTTAGTGAAATTGCCAACTACAAAAACAAACTTCAGTTGATTAGATCAGTCTTCCCCATCTGGTATTCAAAATACAATTCACAGAATTCCTAGTCAGAATTCTCAGCATGAGAAAGCTGGCTGGGAATTCTGGGATTGTAATGTCATTACATTTCAAGGGTCCACATTAAGGAAGATTGTTTTACTGTTTGGCTCTTGATTTTTATTTACTTAATTTAGAGGATCTATATTATATGTTTGGACTGAAAGAGTCTCAGAGTAGATTCTAAGAAGTGTGTGTGTGTGTGTATGAATGTGTATGGGGAATATATGTATGTATGTGGAATATATACAGTACTGTGCAAAAGTTTTAGGCAGGTGTGGAAAAATGCTGTAAAGTAAGAATGCTTTCAAAAATATCAGGTGTGGAAAAATGCTGTAAAGTAAGAATGCTTTCAAAAATATCAGGTGTGGAAAAATGCTGTAAAGTAAGAATGCTTTCAAAAATATATATTGTAATTGTTTATGTCTATCAGTTTACAAAATGCAAAGTGAGTGAACAGAAGAAAAACCCAAATCAAAATTTGGTGTGACCATCCTTTGCCTTCAAAACAGCATCAATTCTTCTAGGTAC